TTTTTTTTTTTTTTTTTAATCTTCTTTTGCCTCCTCTACTTATTTATCTTGTAGTAGTGACCTGGTCTCACCCTGCCCCGCCACTTTTTAATTTAAATTTTTAAATAATAAAGATAGGGAGATTTAAATTTTTAAATAATAAAGACAGGGATCTCCCTGTGTTGATCATGCTGGCCTCAAATGTTTGCTTTAAGTGATCCTTCCACCTCAGTTTGCCAATGTGCTGGGGATTATAGGCATGAACCACCATGTGCTACCCAATATGTCAAACTCTCTCACTCTTTTTTTTTTTTTTGAGAAAGAGTCTTGCTCTGTAGCCAGGCTGGAGTGCAGTGGCGCAATCTTGGCTCAATGCAACCTCTGCCTCCTGGGTCCAAGCGATTCTCCTGCCTCAGACTACAGGCGTGCACCAACATGCCCAGTTAATTTTTGTATTTTCAGTAGAGACTGGGTTTCACCACGTTGGCCAGGATGGTCTTGATCTCTTGACCTCGTGATCCGCCCGCCTCACCCTCCCAAAGTGCTGGGATTACAGGCGTAAACCACCGCGCCAGGCCTAAAATATGTCAAACTCTCAATAGCTTTTAGATAAGGGAAAGGAAAAGAAGAGGGGAGGGGATACTGCTTCATTAACGGAGATTCTCTACAGATGCAAATTTCCCTCTCAAAAGACAGTTTTGCAAGGCCACCTTTTTTTGCTGGCCAAGCAGCAGCCATTTCAAAATCGTCAAAGAAATATATTTTGGCAGGGCAGTATTTTTGGACAAAATATTTTAATGTCTTTCGCTTTTTTTGGACACTGAGTCTGGAATTCCCTGTACCGTTACGTCCTGTGCAGGATGAAGGAGCAGGGACAGCCCACGGAGTGAGGAAGATGACAATGCCCCGTCTACCAATTCGGAGCAAGTTTGGCGGAAAGCAAATATTCAAAGAAAAGGAGGCAGAGAGGGAACTGACCTTGGAAAGTGTGGCCAGAAGCAGCTACTTTGGCTCTGCAGGTCCAGATCACCCAGGGCTTCTGCTGTCACTCAGGGAAGGGGGCGAGGTCTAGACCCTTATCCAATCAGCGGCGCTGGGGCGGGGCCCTGCCAACTGTCCTCCGGGGAAGGGGAGGTTGCATTCCTGCTCTCTTCACTCCTGGGGTTGCTCGCGCCAATTGAGGTCTGGGGCTTTACTGCCCCGAGAGGGACCAGTTACTTCACCTATAGGTGCTGTCGCTCTGTCGACTGCACTGTGACCTGCACTGTTCGCGGGACCTTTAGAGAGGATAACGGGATACCTGGAAGCCAGGAAATGGTGAGCATGCAGGGCTGGGGGTTCCAAGGCGATAGGAGGGCTGGGTGCAACCGAGTGGAAACCGCTATGGCGGGGCTCGGGCCTCCCTGCGGCGACTCTGGGGTCTGGACACAGTCCCTCTGGCGCAGCTCCGCACTCGGTCCCTTCGGCCGCTGGGTGGGGCTGGGCCGGCAGCCGGGACCCCGGGCGTCCTGTCCCGTCCCTGCGCGGCGACTACGGTCCCCGTCCCGGCCCCGGAGCCTTCTCTGTGCAGCTCCGCGCCCGCAGCCCCGCGTCTCCCCAGATTGTGCGGGGACCACGGGATCCCTCCTCATGGAGGGATCCTGCCTCGGGTGTGGGTTTCGTGTGGGAGGAGCGGTGTGCTGTGGGGTCCCCAGTTCGTTTTTTTCTAAAGTTAAAAATTAAACTGAGGCACAGTTAAAAATTAGAGTTTAGCCGGGCGCGGTGGCTCAAGCCTGTAATCCCAGCACTTTGGGAGGCCGAGGCGGGTGGATCACGAGGTCAAGAGATCGAGACCATGCTGGTCAACATGGTGAAACCCCGTCTCTACTAAAAATACAAAAAATTAGCTGGGCATGGTGGCGCGTGCCTGTAATCCCAGCTACTCAGGAGGCTGAGGCAGGAGAATTGCCTGAACCCAGGAGGCGGAGGTTGCGGTGAGCCGAGATCGCGCCATTGCACTCCAGCCTGGGTAACAAGAGCGAAACTCCGTCTCAAAAAAAAAAAAATTAGAGTTTATTAGGGCCGGGTGCGGTGGCTCACGTCTGTAATCCCAACATTTTGGGAGACCCAGGCGGTGGATCGCCTGAGGTCAGGAGTTCGAGACCAGCCTGCCCAACATATAGCTAAAAATACAAAAAATTAGCTGGGCGTGGTAGCATATGCCTTTATTCCCAGCTACTCAGGAGGCTGAGGCAGGAGAATCGCTTGAACCCTGAGGCAGAGGTTTCATTGAGCAAGATTGCACCACTGCACTCCAGCCTGGGCGACAGAGCAAACTCTGTCAAAAAAAATTAGAGTTTATTTTAGCAAACAGCGATTAATGAATGAGAAACACCCAGTCCTGGCTTGTGGTTTGGTAACGGAAAAACCCAAACTGTGTAACATAAGTTTCTTCTGAGCTGAATAGGAGAGACCTCGGCTGTGGGAAACACAACCCCACCAAGCCTAGAGTAAGAGGTCCCGAGACTGCCCATGACAGTTTGGTTTTATTCATTACAGGGAGACAGGAATTGCGGGAAAATGATGAATCAGTGCCTGGAAGGTTTAAGTTCCTTTGGCTGAAAGGCGGGACACAGGAAAGCGGGGTTAGAATGCACAGGTGGTGGAGGGGTTCTGTAGGTGGCATTTGGTTGAGAGTGTGAAGCTTTGTCTAAGATTTGGAGGTGGTAGGAGGGAGGGCTGTTATCTGCCAAGTGATTTCATCCCAGTCCCCGCCCCCGTCCCCAAATACCTGTTTTACCAGATTTTATTATTATTATTAAGATGGGGTTTCACCATGTTGGTCAGGCTGGTCTTGAACTCTCGACCTCAGGTGATCCGCCCGTCTTGGCCTCCAAAGTGCTTGCATTACAGGCGTGAGCCACCACCCCCGGCCTTATTTTTTCTTTTTTTTGTTTTTGAGACGGAGTTTCGCTCCTGTTACTCAGGCTGGAGTGCAATGGCGCGATCTCCGCTCACGCAACCTCCGCCTCCTGGGTTCAGGCAATTCTCCTGCCTCAGCCTCCTGAGTAGCTGGGATTACAGGCACGTGCCACCATGCCCAGCTAATTTTTTGTATTTTTGGTAGAGACGGGGTTTCACCATGTTGACCAGGATGGTCTCGATCTCTTGACCTCGTGATCCACCCGCCTTGGCCTCCCAAAGTGCTGGGATTACAGGCTTGAGCCACCGCGCCCGGCCCTGTTTTTTCTTTGAGATGAAGTCTTGCACTGTCGCCAAGGCTTGAATGCAGTGGCGAGATCTCGGCTTACTGCAACCTCTGCCTCCCGGGTTCAAGCGATTCTCCTGCCTCAGCCTCCTGAGCTTGGATTACAGGCACGTGCCACGACACCCGGCATTTATTTATTTATTTTTTGGGGGGTCTATTTTTAGTAGAGACGGCATCCCACCATGTTGGTCAGGCTGGTCTCAATCTCCTGACCTCGTAATCTGCCCAAGTTTAGGATTTTATTTCTAGTTCACTGGTTGAAGAATAGGCTTTTATTATAAGGTGCTTGAGGAGCCAAACTGGATACAGACTTCATTGGGTATAGTGATGCAATAACCTTATTTAGACTTGCCAATCTTAAATAATTCAGAAGATCAAATTAGAGATTATTCAATCTGAGATAGATTATTAAAATCTGAGAATGGACATTCAGAAAAACAGACTATACAAAAATGGGCTCCGTCTAGGCCAGGCGCGGTGGCTCACGCCTGTAATCAGAGCACTTCAGGAGGCTGAGGTGGGTAGATATCCTGAGGTCAGGGGTTCTAGACCAGACTGCTTGTCTCTACTAAAAACAAAAAAATTAGCAGGGACCGGGTGTGGTGGTTTATGCCTGTAATCTCAGCACTCTGAGAAGCCGAGGCGGGTCACGAGGTCAGGAGCTCAAGAGCAGCCTGGCCAACATGGTGAAACCCAGTCCTTACTAAAAATACAAAAATTAGCCAGGCATGGTGGTACGCACCTGTAATCCCACCTACTCAGGATGCTGAGGCAGGAGAATTGCTTGAACCCGGAAGGCAGAGGTTGCAATGGGGCTAGACCACACCACTGCACTCCAGCCTGGGCAACAGAGCAAGACTCAGTCTAAGGAAAACAAAACAAAACCTAGCAAGGCGTGATGGCGGGCACCTGTAATCCCAGCTACTGGGGAGGCCAAGGCAGGAGAATTGCTTGGACCCGGGAGGTGGAGGTTGCAGCAAGCCAAAATCCCACCATTGCACTCCAGCCTGGGTGACGAGAGCGAAACTCCATCTCAAAAAAAAAAAAAAGTCATGGGCTCAGTTTTAAAATCTTGGCTGGGTGCAGTTCCTCATGCCTGTAATTTCAGCACTTTGGCAGAGGCAGGAGTATCCCTTGAGGCCAGGAGTTGGAGACCAGCTTTGAAAACATGGCAAAACGCTGTCTCTAGAAAAGAAAAATTTTTTTAAATTAGCCAGGCATTGTAGCACCTGGCTGTAGTCCCAGCTACTGGGAGGCTGAGGTAGGAGGATCCCTTGAGCCTAGGAGTTAGAGTCTGCAGTGAGTGAATACCCTACTGCAGTCCAGCCATGGTGAAAGAATGAAAAAAAGAAAGTTATATATCAAAAAAGAAAGTTAAGTTCCTTCTTATATAGGCAAAAAAACCAAATTTAATTAGTACAACTTAATTAATTGTACAATTTGATACAACTAATTGGTACAATACATTAATTATACAATTTAATTGGTTACAGTTTTTTTTTTTGGTTTTGTGGTTTTGTTTTTTTGAGACAGAGTCTCGCTTTTTCACCCAGGCTAGAGTGCCATTGGAGTGATCTTGGCTCACTGCAACCTCTGCTTCCTGGGTTCGAGCAATTCTCCCACCTCAGCCTCCTGAATAGCTGGGATTACAGATGCCCACCATCACGCCTGGCTAATTTTTGCACTTTTAGTAGAGACAGGGTTTTGCCATGTTGGTCAGGCTGGTCTTGAACTCCTGACCTTGTGATCTGCCGGCCTCAGCCTCCCAAATGCTGGGATTTCAGGCGTGAGCTGCCTCGCCGGACCACCTTATGCTAGCTTTGGATTTTCTTT